TGTTAATCTTCTTCATTCTCCATCTGGGGATTTCTCTCTGGTCTCATCACACCCACACACACAGCAGAACTGATTTACTAGGGACTCTCTGTGCCTGGGGGTGAGTTGTGTTTATAAGACTTTTTGTGTCTTACCTAGGAAGGCATGAGAGTTCACAGGAAATGTAGGCATCGTTAGAGATGATGGCTGTGCTTTCAAAGTCACCCCGGGGGAAAAAAATGGAGGCGGCCCGCGATTTCCATCACTGGTCAACAACAGGAACTTTTGTAGTCATTGATGTTCCCGGAAACAAATGCCTAGCGTGGAATCGTTGGTTAATACAAGTTCTCGGTTGGCACCGTGGCACCCTGTCAGCCCCCTCTGGGGTAGGAAAGAACATCTTATGTGGGAATCAAATCTACCCGGGAGCCAGGTATTCACCTTGTTAGACATCACCTGTGGATGGTGGCGATGAACGCCCTGGAGAGGGGGAAGCTGAGAAGCTGATAGCGGCAGAGGTGACCCAGCTAGATGGGCGCTTTGTGGTAGAACCTAGTCACATGGCTGGAGATTGTCAAGCCAACCGCCTCCAGGATCTGTGACCCTGAAATGGATCTCTGCTACTTTCCCTTGTGGGCAAGGGCCTCAGAAACTTCTCTCATGGACGGGGCAAGAGAGTGTCATGGCTAAAAGCACCAGCCCCTCTGCCAGGTACTGTATTTTGCTGTGTATAATGCACACCCATGTTTTTGTGCGCATTATACATGGGATTATTATACCCATGGTATGTAATCATTATACACTGCAAAATATGGTCTGGATTTCAATCATTCCAGTGCTTACTAGAAACCTTATTGGCTATGTGACTGCAGGCAAGTGACTTAACCTCTCTGAGCCTCGGTTTTCTTAGTAGTAATCTAGTTGTAATCCTGCTACTTACTTTAAAGGTTGCTGTAGTTACTGGATGAGATGACCTATGCAAAGTGCTTGCTACGCAGTGAGTAGTCAACCAATGATGGCTATTCGTACCTCAGTATTTTTTATATTGTCATTGCTAAAGTAAATCAGAAATACATATTGGGGGAAAAAGCATAGGCTTTGCATCCAGGCCAACCAGGGTGCAAATTCTGGTCTTGCGTGTGCTAGTTGCTTCCTTGGGCCTCAGTTTCTTCATCTGTTAAAAGGGAATAGGATTGTGGCAAAGGTAAATGAAACATGCATGAATAGGGTATACTACAGTGGCTGGCAAAGAGTAAAAACCAGTAAATAACTCTTATCATTCTACCTGTTATCATTATCATCATCACCGCTAAAGCATTAGACGTGTTGGAGGGCTGGCAGCCTTAGAATTCATAGAATTTCTACTGTATGTAAAGTTCTTTCTTCTGGGAAGATGAGGGTAGCATCAGTCTCCCTGCCCCTTAGTGTTGTTGGTTCCCTGTTTTCTTGAGTCCCTGTGGCTGATTTGCGGAGCTGTCTGTGTGACCAGAGGCGCCCTGTTGACAAGCGCCCGCACTGCAGCCACCTGCCCTCTTCGCTGCCCTCCCCTGCGTCCTCCTGTCCACCCTCTGTGATTATCCAGGGTGGGCTGGGTCATTCCCAACCACTGAAGACTGGATGGTTTTGAGCGCCTTTCCCCAGACCTCTTTGGTTTGTGCATTCTTCCTAGCGGAACTTCATTTTTTCATTGGCAGCCCATTTTTCGATGCCTTAGATATGTCAGCTGTTTTTCATTTCCGGGCCTGTCTGCCACTTCATTAAAGTCTTGTGTATCCCATGTCCAAGTTCATTTATGGGGCGGAGGGATGCATCAAGTAACAACGGGCCCAGTTCCAGGTCCCAAATCATTTCCTAGGTGGCTGCTACTTAATGTGCCCATGCTTTGGCTTGAAGCCTTCAGGCTGGAGAAGTGTGGGTTTGGTGCCGTCAGGCAGGGAACAGGACAAGAGGAAAGAGCTGGTTCTTCCTGAGCCCCATCACTGCTGCCCCACAGCAAACACTGCCCGGCGCCTTCCAGAGTCAGGGGCTGGGAATACTGTGAAGTGAGATCTGGGGAGAACCGATGCGTAAAAAGACAAACAATGCAAGATAGAGGTCTGAGTCAGGGCTGCTTTTCTTTTCTTTTTTTTTTTTTTTTTTTTTTAGGTCTCAGCCTCCTTAAGCCCTCCAGATGTCCCTTGGCCTGTCATTAGGTGAAGTGGCCAGCAGACAGGCTTCGTAACTTGTAGGGCCCAGTGCGAAATGAAAATGTGGCTGCTTCCCATAGGCCTGTGAAGAGGTGACCCCCCCCCCCAAGAGACTGTCTCCTCTGCACCCTGGGTCCATAGATCAGGGGGGGGTCAAGAGCCCCCTGCTGAGTCACCAGCACATGCGCCAGGGAGCTCCCTGTCTTGGTCAGGGAGGACAGCACCAACCCCGACTCTACACCCACCAGTATCTGGGCCCCCGCCACATGACCCTGTCACTACCTCATGGGTAGGATGACTCCTGCTGGGCCAGACTCTAGGAGGTGGGGAGCAGGCACCTAAAAATCCCTACTGGGGAGGTCTTAGGAGGGATGTCCACGAGTGAGCTGAGGCCCTAGGCCCCCTGTGCATGCTCCATTGCCCCATCAGACTTCACTTTCAAAACATAAAGTCAAAGGTAAAAATATTAAGAAGTGCAGATGGCAACTGCAGAACATTAAACCCCAAGCGTGGGGCCCTTAGGAATTTGGGACCCATGGGGGCATGGGCCTGGTGACTGCAGATTCCCAGGAGAGATTATCGGCTCAGTTTGAGACCAGGCGGGGTAGAGGGCAGGAACCAGGCCAATCTGCTAAGAGGGAGCATGCACAATGGGGCAGGGCTCCACTGGGTAGGCGGCAGGGCTGTGGGCTAATCTGACCCAAAAGATCTTCTCTAATAGCACGTGCTCCATCTATAAAAGATGGAGGGCCTACTTCTAGTCTACTTCTAGTCTCAGTTTATTCAACTGTGAAATAAACAAACTCTACACAATTCCAGGAGTCTAAGCATGTTCAAGGTGCTTTTGAAAGGTGCTTTAGCTCCCTGGGAAATGGGCCCACTCAAATATCATCAAAATCATGTGTGGCCCTTGGATTTGACCACAGCACTGCAGAGAGAGAAGAAAGACTTAGATGATCTTTAAGGTTCTTTGAACCCCAAGTTTTTGTTACTCTTATTTTGGTCTAAGCTATAGAATTTCCATGCTGTGTATCATGAGAATTTTTAAAGGGATCTTTTCTTTTCTGCTCTCTATGGTACACAAATACTTTCTTTTCCTTAGAAAAACCTTTTTTCCCCAAATGTCTTCCTGAAGGGGGAAAAACTGGAAAAAAAGGAGGGAGAACATAGGCCGTTATAAAAAATTTATTCCTCAAGGTACAATGTGGTTTTTATCAAATGAAGTACATGTCAACAGATTTAAGGACCCTCTGTCACTAAGTCTTGATTTTGATAGTCTAAATGTGGTGCTGTGGTGTTTTCTTGCTTTCTGACCCAGAAGCTGCTGGAATTCATTTGCTTGGCTGCAAGGTAGAGACACGGTTACAGTTTTATCTTAATTACCTTTCCTTTCCGTAATTCTTTTTGTAAATCACTTTGATTTAGGGTTTCATCTGCAATCTCAAAACTAACTGGTGACCAGTTTTTTAAATTAGGCTGTATATTGTGAACTTTAGTAGAACCTGTGAAATTTTATTTATGTATCTTAGTCACAAAGGTGATAGTGCCTTTGATAAAACATTTTGATATTTTTTTATGTAGGTCTATTTATTATACTCTCTTTACTTTCCTTTTGTGGAGATAGTTGGGCTGAGAGAGTGACTATTATCATCACTACCCACCACTGATTACTAAGGACATAAAACCCCGTGTGTGTGTGTGTGTGTGTGTGTGTGTGTGTGTCTGTCTGTCTGTAATGATTAATTCTCGCCTGGTATGATACCATTTTATAAATGAGGACTTAAGACTTAGGGAAATTAAAGCCAAGATCACACAGTTAGAATGTGGCAGAGCTGGGACTCGAACTCCTGTGTGATACACAGCTCTTTCCACTCTGCCATTCATGCCCTCACTGAAACGGGGCTTCAGGATTTTATAAAGCAGAATATTAAGAAATGCATTAAGTTTTGCTGTAGGATACACATCATCTTGGGCACCTCTTCCCACCCCAAAAGGAGAGGCACCAGCCCACTGTTGCTGTCTGAGCTTCCGTGACTTGCAGAGAGGATGTTCTCTCTCTTACAAGACCAAATGGAGCCTTTTGAGGGAAGGAAGGGGTCTGGGTGGGAAGCCATGCTGGAAGGCAGCAAAGGGGAGTGGAAAGAACACAGCTTCTGAAGCCAGGAAGACCAGCTCTGTCTCCTGTGGGTAAGTCTTTACTGCAAGCACCAGGAAAGTGAGGGTAATGGCACCAACCTGACAGGATTATTGGCAGGGATGGAAATAAATGAGACGAAGGATATGAACCCTCTGATATACACAGAATGTTAAGTATTGTTAGTTGCAATTGCAAAAGGATTAACTCTTACTGCCTTTCCACAACTTTCCCATGTACATACCCATTGACAGATACATACTCTGCTGCTTAAGATTTGCATGCAGCCTCTTTCATGCCTGCATGAGGGACCCTGAATTTATCTTTTGAAAAATCTATTGTTTCTGCATAATTTCCCATTGCCTCAATGTTCTTTTTTTCTGAGTTTAGATTAAGGAGTTGAAGGACATTGGGTGTCCATGTCCATCCATAGAATTCAGCCAAGCTTGCGGCCTGCCGTTGTTGGGGGGACGGGGATGGAGGTGGGGTTTGGCTCTCATCTCACTCTTTTGCTATGGGATGTCTCACTGTCTTCTCCTGAAGCCTTGGCCTTCCACGTGGGGACAAAAAGCTTCTGAAACTTGGAGGTGCAATGAGCTCACAAGCACCCAGAACGCTGTGCCCTCGCCCCCTGGAAGTGGAATAAGTTTGTCACGCTGCAAAGTAGCTCAACTCTTGTGTTCTTTGTTCTCTTTTGGCAGAACCAGCTTCTTGCAAAAGGACTGTTGTTTGTGGAGGAGAAGATTAAGCTGTGCGAAGGCAAGTACAAGGCTGCCCTCATAGAGCGGGGTCCCCGTGACTCAGCCTTTGATGTTTGGACAGCTGGAGCGCTTCTGTTCAAAAGCGGCAGGCTCCGAGTGAGTGATGCGCCCCGGCCGTTGCGTCTCCAGCTAGGCGGCAGCATTTCCATTTGAGTCAGCCACTCAGGGCAACGCAAAGCTAGAGCAGTGTTTTGAAAAACAAAGTGGCCTTGGGGTGATCTCTTTGGAGACCTCGTTTAAGGGGGGTTTTCTCAGGATCTGTACCTGTCATGCTGTTTTCTCTCTTCTGATCCAGGCTATTTCCTATCAGCCTCTGTCATATTTCTTGTCATCATATGTGACCGGAGGCCTATCCATTTGGGAAACATCAGGTTAAGCAGACACCCACTTAAGGGGTATGATTTGATAGGCAAAGGAAAACTTTCTGGCTTTAAAAGGTTTTTAGAGCCCATCTGAAAGGACAGGATGGAATTGGAAGAGGAGTCCAGAGGCAAGAATCAGTCAACCCCCTGACATCACCAGGGACCACTGTCAGCTCCCACGTGTTTGGGTCCTGATCTTGCTGCCACCTATGTCTTGGGTGACTTCTGGCAAGTTTACAATTTCTCTGAGCCTTGGTTTTTATTATCTTTAAAATGATAAAATAGGGGTAGAGATTATAGGGAGGATAAAGCTCATGACTAGTGTAGCACCTTACCCAGCACATAGTGGATACACAAGCTGGTTCCTCCTTCTTCTTTTTTTTTTTATTTCCTACTCCAGTCTAGAGACCTCTCTCTGTAGGACAAACTTCTAGATCCAGACATATCAGGCATTAGACCATCTCCCATTTTCCCTTATTCTCTGACAAAGAGAGTGGCGTCTAGTGAAGTGTCTGCTAGAAAGACAAAGTGAGAAGAAGAATGAGGAGCTGACACTGGACAATACAGTGTCTGGCACATAGTAAGTGCTCACCAAACCTTTGGAAGAAGAGAGGTTAGGAATTCGCCTCTATGTGAGAGTTGACTGAACCTGTAGCCTGGTTTCCTTTGGATCTCTCTACGCTGAGACTCTTCACCCTTGTAAATGCCTGCTAACCTAAGGCGTTATTCATAAGCAACTTGCTTTGACGAGAATTTAGTGGGCCTTTTGCATTTCAGTGGCAGTCTAGTTCACATGTGTAGAAGGTGACCGCCCAGGAAAGAGGGAAAAGAAGCATGGGCTCTGGCCACATTCTTTGTCTGTAAGTCATTTGGGGAGTTATTACATGCTCTGTAAATATGGAAAAATACCAGCTCTATGAAAAAGATACTGAGCAAAACCAGAGATCTGAGGGCCCTGCAAAAGTTACCTGTCTCTCATCCCAGGGACACTCAGCAGATACATTCAGAGCGAAACCTCAGAAATGGCACTAGATGGGCGAACAGAGGTCTGTGCCTCTGCGCCAGAGTGGCCAAGAGCACTGGGCCTGGGTGTGCTCTCTGGGGCCCCCGGTCCTAGGGTCCGGTGTCAGGGTCCTTTCTGCACAGCAAAGGGGCATGAGGGGAACCTTGAAGGGCTTTTCATACTCTCAGCCAAAAGAGGTCTACTTTATTTTATGTGTTCCAACTCCTGGGAAGGTTTCGTTTGGATAACAAGATTCCCTTGGTATAAAATATCGTTGGGAAATGACGGATAGGATCCATCCTATCGCTGAGTCAACTTCACTGGTTGCTTGCACCTGGCCTTACAGCCGCAGAAAGGGCAGAGGCAGCTCCTACCCATGTGTTGCTCGTTTGTGGGATATGTCACATGACTCTCAGTCCTCGGTTTCAGAGCTTTGTTGATCTTGACTTTAAAGAAGTTTCTTGTACCTCTTCTCCATACCTCTGGCGATCTAAACCCCCATGGTCCATTAGAGGAGAGGTTTCCAAAGAGAAAACCTTCTGTCCAAACTCTTCCCCTATGCAGAGAGCTAAGCTCTTGACTTGTGGGCTGTTTGTGCAGGTGACCCCACTTCCTTTCTTTAACTCTTTCTTCCCCGGGGCTACCCTGTTTTGTTAGTCTGTGTCTGTCTGATGTTCTTTTCTGAACATGTTCCAAAACCTCCATTACTCTCTGAAGTTTGCAGCCAGCAATTTGACCCAGGTTCCAGGACAGGTGCCTGCCTGCTGCTGGGTCGAAGGATGACCTTCTGTGCCAGGGAGCTTTCCATCTTAGGCTGAAAGGGAGTAAATAGGCACCAGCACTGGCCTGCAGGGTTCTTCTTTTCTTCCCTCAGGTCAGGTTGGCCTGTGCTTTTTGTCTTTGTGATGGAAGGCTTAGGATAAGAGCTGTCAATAAAGGAGCCGGAATAGCCTTTTCTCCTTTGAGGTCCAATGATCCAGGAGTTGGGGTCCACCTGGATTTAAGGATGAGCTAACATTTCAGATGGTCCTTTTGACTTCCCTGACTCCTCCCTGCAGAGAACTAGCACAGCCTACATTTGAAAAAAGGATGCTGACTGATCGATTCAAACATTTATTGATTATCTACTCTATACCAGGTACTTTCCTAGGTGCTGGGGGGACACAGTGGTGAACAAAACCACCATAGGCGGACAGGCCCTTCTGGAGCTCACAACCTGGTAATAGAGACAGATGTTAATGAAATCATCACCAAATACAAAACTGAAACCAGGACAAGTGCTAAGAGCACCATCCCATCCATGCTAAAGAGATTTGACCACTTTCGTGTGGAAGGGATGTTGGAGCTGAAACTACAAAGATAAATAAATATAAGCTAGGCAAGGAGGTGGGAAAGAACATTCTGGGCCAAGGGACGAGCACATGCAGAAGGAACATGGTGAGTGGGAGGAGCTGAAATAAAATCTACTTGTGAGGGCCCAAAGGCTGAGGGGATATAGGAGAGGATGAAGACACAGAAGGAAACAGACCCTCCTGGCCATGTTGCTCACATTATGGAAGTTTTCTTTAAGCAAAGGAGAGTGTTGGAGCTAACTATTACGTCCTGTTCTGTCCTGTCCCATATTCAGGTTAAATGCTAACCTCCTTCCACTCACCAGCTCCGGCCGGCATCTGCCAAAAAACCCGTATACAGTTAATACTTGCCATTCATTCAGTCATTCATTTGTTTGTTTGTTTGTTTGTTCATTCTTTCAAAGATTTCTAGAAATTGGTTTATTGGTGTGTCTGGCACCATGCTAAGCACTAGAAACATAATGGTGAACAGGACAAAGCCCAGGCACTCACTCCCGTTCTAGTAGAGACAGAAAAGTAAAATATGCAATTCCAACAAAGTGTAATTAGCGCTTTGCGAGGCAAAGTAGAGGGTGTTAGGAGTCTGCTTTTCTCCGGAATACATTTCACTCTGACCTTTCCAAATCTGCGTGTCTCTGGCCCTGCTGGCTACTAGTCATGCCCTTGCTCTTCTCTCCCGGCCACTGCTTTTATTGTCCATTAAATTAATAGACGGAAGATACTAAAATGAATCTTTCTGTATCACTTCAGCGGAACTGGCAGTGTTTTGCCAAGCGCGGCTCTCAGCGTCTAATCGTGGCTGACCCAGTTTCTCTGCCTCAGATGAGCAAGGACAGCGCCCAATCAGCTCTGTTATCTAGGTCATTAAATAGCAGCCAGTGTGCAGCCCCCTCTCTGCCAGCACCTGCCTCTCCTGCAGTTGCAGAGTTCCCTACACAGCCTTCCGGTGGCAGTGGCTGACCCATGTACATCAAGCCTGGGCATGGCTGCCGGCCACGGCGCAGGCTTCCTGATCCTAGGGGTGGGGGAAGGCACCGCATCAGGGTGTGGGCCCCGTCTCTTACAGGTGACCACTTCAGAAATGCCACCCTTCCGGCTACTGCAAAGCAGTGGGTGGAGGTGACAGTTTCCAGGCCCTCTTTTCACCTCCCTCAATTGACAACTCAAATGCAGAATAAAAAGTCTATGTCTTAGTGATTACAACAACAACAACAAAAGCAATATAAAACTGTGTGCATGGTCTGCCCAGATCACATTGGTCAAGAGCATGGGTTCTGGAATCCCAGCTCTGCCTTCTTGCTGTGTGACTTAGAGCCAGACACTTGGCCTCTCTGAGCCTGTACATGGGGTAATAGAGTCTTTTCGTGAGATGTCATAAATAGTTTAGCACAGTGACTGATGATGTTGTAGCCGTTTGCATGATAATAATTATTATATGATTTTCAAAATTCAGCTCCCTTTTCTGGTTTGGGGATAGAAGGCATATTTGCATATTTTCAATCGAGTTCTTCCATCCGACCCCAGGTTTGCTGTAGTCACACCTTAAGATCAAATGTAGGTAATGAGCCTTTTCCCCTCTCCCCCTGCTCCATTTGACATGGAACTGTCTTCTTGCCTCTCCTACAAGTAATGACAAGTTCTTTTCTTTCTTTTTCCCCTCCCATCTTCTCGTCCTTGTGTAGGTGAAAATCGCATTGAGGTTCTGGCTGAAGTCTGGGACCACTTCTTCACTGAGACTCTCCCCACCCTGCAGGCAATATTTTATCCAGTTCAGGTCAGTCTCTCTGGAATGGCCTCGGCTTGGTCTTTGCCACCTGGAGCCTCCTGGTGGATGGGGGAGAGCCAGGAGGTCGGGGCCTGAGTTGGCTAAGGACTTGGGAAGTCTTTGCAGGGCACCCTGGTTCTATACTTAGCATCTAACCTCAAGTAAAGAGGTGGCCCTGCAGAAGTAGCAATTTGTAAGCTCTTGACACCCTCTTGGTTTGGAGCATGTCTGTGTATTCTTACAGTGATTTGCTTCTTCTGAGTTTTCAGAAGTAGAAAAGGTGGGGAACAGAGGCTTCTCCTTTTCTGTCCCTTTTTCCCCCCTTTCTCTGAAGCACGATGTTAAGCAAGTTTCCTGTTGCTCCGAGATTGTGGGAAAGGAATGATGTCCCTTGCCCTCCCCAAGGGGTTCCTGAAGACGTAGCAGAAAGAACACTACAGTCGGAATCTGGCTGGGTATGGGCAGACGCTTTTCCCTTCTCTGAACGTAGCTCCACTTCATGTCCTGCAAAGTGAGGAATTTAGACTAAGAGATGAGAGGTGTCTCTTTCATGTTCTTAGTCTATGACCTCCGCTCATCCTACCATTTGTCCCTCCTACCCTCCTACAGGACGGGTCGGTGCCAGGTCAGAGTGGCCATCCCCTAAGGCAGGCCGCGTAAGAGACCCTCCTCTCCAAAACATCAGTCTGCGTCATACACCTGTGCTGCCAGGGGCTCACTGTCCACTCCTGCCCGGGGGATTAGGGCTTCTTGTCTAACCTGGTTTTGCGGAAGTGCGGGCATGGGTGCAGCAAAAACACAGCCGGTAGCAGTGGCAGGAACTACCTCATGCCCGAGGTAATGACCCACGTGCTTTGTTTGCACCGAATGCTGTTTTAAAGGAATTTGAGATTCTTTGAACTATTTCTCAAATATTTAAACATCGGGGGGTTATGCCTGTGGAGTCCATTTCCCATTCTGGGCCTGCCCCTCACAATTGTGGTCGAAACCTCCAGCCTGCAGCCACTGCTGCCTTCCCCTCATCCTCAGCCTGTCCTGTGCCCCCGTGAGAGGGTGGATGGCATTTAAGTGGACAGGGCAGCCCCCCGGGCCCACCAGCTTCTCCCTTCCCTGCAGTAGGCACTCCTCGGCCAGCAGCAGGTCTAAGAAGACAGTCCTAGGAGGGAGGGTTGACAGATTTAGCAAATGAAAATACAGGATGCTGAGTTAAATTTGGATTTCAGATAAACATGAATAATGCAATGTTTGAGACATATACTAAAAAAACTATTCAAATTTAACCAGTCATCTTGTGTTTTATTTAGCAACCCCGCAGAAGGGAGTTTGTAGTCCTGGGTCTCTGTTAGGACCATTTGGGCGTGGAATTTCTAGATGTGGGTGCCCAGGTGGGTTTAGGATGAGGGGTATGGGCTCTGGGTGGGCATGATCCCGGGACAGTCATGGGAGGGCCAGTGGCCCTCTAAGGCTCTTCTCCGGGCAGAAGCCCAGTTCTGCAGGTCAGAGCCTGGTACTGCCCTGCTTCTCTGGAAAAATGGTAAGATCTGGCAACAGTTGATTTAGCCCCTGACCGTCTCCCCCCCAGTCTCCCTAGTGATGCTGCTGCTGGTTCAGACACCCAGCTTTCAGAACCTCAGGCTTAGGGCTTCTCACTACTAAGACATCTACAAGTCCAGCCAGATTCTTTTCACAACTCCCTCATCGGACAAGTATAGTTTTGAGTGCCTACTGTGTGCAAGGCTGTGGAACTTGGCCTGTGTTTTCCTACTCTGTAAAGTGAAAGGGCTCCCGGAGGTAAAGTGAGGACATAGATACCTATGAGACAAGTAGTCGGTGCCAAGTGCTGGGACACAGTGCACAAAATAGAAACTGTAGGATCTTGGAAAAGATAAGGAGGGCGTGGACTGCTGCCAACGGCAGCAGTCAGGGAAGGCGGTCTGGAAGCAGAGGCTGAACAGAGCCTGTAATGCGTGGGTGGTGCTGTGTGTGTCTCTTGGGACTGCAGGGCAGGGGGATGCAGAGATGGCCCCACCACTGTTGCCCATGTTTCTGTAAAACCTAAGGTGTTACAGCAAATGCAGAACTTTCTTAAGCCTTGGGAGTCTTGATGGATGGGAACCTATGTCCTATTTGGTAGAGTATGTTCGAATGATATTTTTGTCTCTACCAAAAGCAATCGATTTTGGGTGTGCTCTGTGTATATGTGTGCAAAGGAGAGCCTTGGAAATAGGTCCTTTCTCCCCTTTCTGTTTGGGCAGACTTCGGGAGCTCTAAAATCAAACAGTTTAACTTTGCGATCTAGCTCTTCAAGGGGTAAATTACTGGCACTCTGGGCTTTGGAATTTTTCACCTGTGAAGTAGGTTTTATAATAATACTTCTCTCAAAGGGTGATCGTGGGCATTAAATGTACTATTTACATTAAGACTATTTAGAATCGTGCCAAGCCCATGGTCAGAGCTCAGTAAGTGTGAGTCCTTAGGATTATTAGCTATTATTTTCTTTCTCCGCGCCCACCCCACCTGGTTGAACAAGTCCCTTTCTCCTACTTTCTCAGTTACTTTTCTTCTTGAGTTACTTGCATGTATGGAAGTGTCTGATAGGTCCCCATTTGCCTCCTTTGCTAGGCATATGATTTGGTGCTCAAACATTTAACAGATGAAGCAGAGGAAGCCGCCTTGGATGTGCAGAGGAGGTGGTGGTCTTTTCTCTTGTTTTTTCCCATCATCTTCTCTTCTCCTTTCTGACCACTCATGGTACCCGTGACAGGCATGGCTCCCCTTCTGTGTGTTGTCTTTGGGTTACTGAGGCAGGTTGAGCCAGCGCTTTCATTCTGAAGCATGGGGGCCAGTCTCCGACTCTTTGGCAGCCCCCTTGGGCCTTGCAGACACCTTGTCCTCTCCCACCCTGGATGCTCTGTACCCCATGTGGTTGGTAGCAGGTCCCGTGAGCTCTCACCTCCTGACACTGTCTCTTCTCACCTCCAGGGCCAGGAGCTAACCATCCGCCAGATCTCCCTGCTGGGCTTCCGTGACCTGGTCCTGCTCAAGGTGAAGCTGGGTGACCTGCTGCTGCTGGCTCAGGCCCAGCTGCCCTCGTCCATCGTCCAGATGTTGCTCATCCTGCAGGTGAGGTCCCTGTGAAGATGTGACCCCTAGGCTGAAAGAAGAAAAGAAGGGATAAGGGGGGTGGGACCAAGTGACCAGAGCACTGTAGCTTAGGGCAGTGACCTTTAGTCGCTTATGTTCCTTCGTCACTGAGCATCTTTGTCACTGAGCATCTTTAAGGTCCCTGGCACTGTGCTGGGATCCCAGTGGGGAATGAGAAGCACATTCCTGTCACTCAGACAGTGGACACCGTCTTTCCTCTCCTCTTTCAGGGAATCACAAGTTACAAATAACAACAAAAACGCACTGCAGCCTAGCTCAAGCCAGACCAGGACTCCCTGGAAGGTTCCTGGGGCAGATGGGCTTCCTAAAGGGCTGCGGCCAGAGGGAGACCACGTCAGGCCACAAAGCCACCATCTTCCACTTACTGGTTTCTACTTCTGTCTGGCCCACCTTGTTCTCTCCGACACTGCCCCCTGGCCTTGCCTGGTCTCTCTTGGACTCGGCCTTTTTCTCTGCGCATTGCATTCCGTGCTTCGGTTCACACCTGATCCAACGTGACATCTCATAGCTCATGTGTTCCCACCAAGAGACAACCCCACGTGGTTGTCTAGCATCTCTTCATCCCAATTCTAAATCAACCATAGGAAGCTGAGCTAACACCTATTGCTTCCTGCCAGGTATGGGCCAAAGACTTTAGTAAGTGTGTTGCTCTCTGAATCAAATAATCCAAATGACCACATGGTGAGGTGGGCACTATTGTTGTTCCCATTTTATAGGTGAGGAAAGTGAAACTCAGGGAGTTTATGTGCTTGCCTGAGGTCCCTCGGCAAGGTGGTAGGACTCAGAACTATGTACACTCAGGGGAGATACTTTGATTGCTCCACCTTGAGCTACAGGACTTCCCTCTGCCCAGCCAACTGTGACCTTGAGTGGGACCAAGGAGTACGCACATGGCTTCAGCGATCTCAGTCCTACGGATGGGGGTGCATACTTCTCAAGAAACAGGGCTTGTGGGTTAGGGACACCCCCAAAAGGAGGCTACTAACCATCCTTCGCCTCTGCGCCCATTTCAGACCCTGCAGTATCAGCTCTGAGCCCGTCCATAGGGAAGAAGGTTCCATCCTTGGTCAGGCAGCCAGTGACCCCAGGCTGTCCTTTCAGCAGGGGTGGGACATCAGGCTTGGGGCGCTGATATCTCCCTTCCGCTTTGGCCATTCTCTTCCTGTTCCCTAGTTGGACCATCCTTCTGGGCATTCTCCCGCTTTCCTGAAGTCAGGGCGGAGGAAGAGTTGCCTCATAGGATGAGAGTGGGCGTAATTGGCCGGAGTGCCAGGGCCAGGATTGTTACGGCAGGGAAGGAGAAGGAACGGGGTGGGAAAGCGTGTGTGCGGCTCGTGTCCAAGAAGCAGAAAGCAGAGCTTGGGTCCCAAATAAGGACCCTAGAAAATGAGCTCTTTGCGATTTGGCTAGTAAGATTAGGAAAGTTGGGTTTCCACCCTCTCATTTCCATGTATAATATTCTAGGGATGAGAAGTGATTCCTTTTTTGTTGTTTGTTTTTTTGGGGGGGCGGGGTGGGGAGGAGAATTGAAGGACGGGCTCTCACCTGTGAACAGTAGGCCAGGAGGGCCTTAATGCATTCCAACATTCCAGGCCCAACAGCCCCCGACCATACAAGAAAGCTGTCCTCATCCCCCCATGGAGTCCCTAAAAATGGTCAGGCTGTCTTCCCCGGAGAATCTCCCTTCATCCACCCTGGCCTCCACCCCACTTTGTTCCCCACGGAGCAGCTTCAACTCAGCAGCAGTCCACAGTGATTTTAAGAAAATAGCCCAAGTCTGTACCCTGGCCTCTGGCCCCTCCCCAGCCTCCCTTGGAACCTGACTTGGAACCTGACCAGTGTGACCTGGCTGTTCAGCTCTCTGGCCACACTGGCCTTCGTGGCCTGTCCCTGTTGTGCAGGGGCCTTTGTGCTCCTGTTCCCTCCCCATGGAACGCTGTGGGTCACAACAGCGGCCCACCAGACCCCTCTGGCCAAGGCGGGTCTGTATGTCTTCTCCTTCCTCTTCTGCCTTCAGCACATAGTAGGTGTTGATTAAACATTTGTTCAGTGAATGAGGGCACCAGGTAGTAAGAGCTGGTGTAGGGCTGAACCCAGGTCTCGTGGTGGTGACTGTCATGCAGGAACTCCAACCTTGGCAGGGGAGGTATATTTGGAGAAGCTCCGGTTGTTACAAATTTCTGGGAAGTCAGGCATGAAAACAGCCCCTGTTTTCCCATTTCACGGGTGAGGTAGGGGTTCAGAGAAGTGGCTAAGTAGCCCAAGGTCACATCTTAATTTATAAGAGATGAATTTGTCACTCATTCCTCAGCTCTTGCTTTTCCTACCTCTCCACCCAGGCTGTCTGGGTTACCGCTGCCTCCCCCGCCCCCTGCAGTCTCCCAGGTCTTTGGAAATGCCCACCAGTGTGTTAGGTGGTCCCTTTTTTGATAGGGAGCGTTTGGCACCGTTTTGCTGAGGCCCTCCTGGCACTAGTTCTCCTGGCCCATGCCCTTCCTCACTCTGGGACCTACAGAACCTGGGGCTGGGAGTGTGACGAGGACACACGCAGGTCTTTCTCCAGTCAAGGTCCATCTTCTTGAGCAGAAAGGACAGCAGCATCTGGATCTGAACGGAACTTGCAGGCTGCGCTGCCCTGGGACCACTCCTGCTGCAGGAAATTTGGGCCCCAGCAGTTAGAACGGCTCCCTTCTCTCCGCAGCCCACCACCCTCCACAGCACCTTGAGGTCTGGGCCGATTTTCCCTGCTTGACTCTTACAGGGCAAAGCGCCATTTCTCAGGCCTTGCTCTCTCCCTTTTCCAGGGCGCTTCCAAAATGTCCCTGATCAAGCCCCACCCCCCCCTTTCCAGCATACAAAAGGGGCTCAAACTTTTCTGCTGTGTACAGTGTGTTCCCATCCTCAGGCTGTCCCAGGAAGAGGCTGAGCTGGAGGCTTTGGCCAGTGTGGAGGTCTGGTGCCCCCTGGCAGGGGCAGACAGGTCCTGAGGTCGCCCTAGGACAGTGCCTTCAGAGGGGTCCCAGCCAGCCAGGCAGGGTGAGCAACATGCACAGTCGCCCAGGTCCCCACGCGCAGCAGGGCCCCGTGCTTGGTGTAATGCTCTCCCACTGCCATCTTGAAATTCTTAATTTTTGAACAAGGGACCCTGCATTTTCATTTTGCACTGGGCATTGCAAGTACGTAGCCAGTCCAGCAGCCAGGCTGAGGGTCAAGGGCCACGTGCAGGCCCCATGTCAGCAGCTACCCTGGGAGATAACCATCCACCTCCAAGTCTCGTGTTTGTGACCCATTTTATGCCCATCTCTTGCCGCTTCTCCTTTCTCTGTCATCGCTCCCTATTTAGTGCTGATGAATTGTAGGAGGCGAGGGCTGGGGGAGGGTGGGGGAGAAGTCAGATGAGAATTAGCATGGAGGAAAAACTGGGAAAAAAGTTTAATTGGCTCTGAAACCCCCTCCAGGTGGTTTCAGGGCCGAAACGGCTCAGCTTTGGAAGCCTGCGGTGCGTCCCGAGGCGCACAAATCTCTCCCTTCTCCAGCCTGGAGGAGTCTCTTCCGTTTGGGCAGAAGTATGTGTTCCTTCCTCAGAGAAGCACCTCCTTTGCTTTTGCCCTTTGTTTTCTGCTGCCAGCGTTTCAATGCTTCAGCTCAGGCTGAGCGGAACTGGAGCCGGGGTGCAGGGAAAGCCCTCGTGCCTTCTCCCCCTCGCCACCTTCAAGCACCAGGCAGCCTTCGTTGAAGCACCGTGGGTCTGAGGGCCACTCACATTTTGTCTGCATTTCCTCCCTTCCAACCCCTTCCCAGACCTGCCCTCCAGGCCTCGAAGTCTTGTGCACCACAGCCCCCTGCTCAGCCTCCTTAGTGTCTCTTGAAGCCGCCCCCTCCCACCCACCACCACAGCCATCCTGGAGCCAATACGGGGCCAAATCAGCTTGTTTCTTTGGGAACATCCACCTCACCTGGTGATCCCCAACCTGCAGGATTGGCCCCTCCGGCTTTAGTGCCTGGCCGTCTTACCCTGCAATCCCCGAAAAGCTCAGTGCAAGGGAGGATTCTTACTTTAAAGGCAGGGTGATTTAAAATCCATTCCACTTTGAGAATTTGACAGGACAGCTCATTGGGCTGGGGACAGCCCCCCCCGGGTCTTTGTCCCTGCCCCCCTGCAGGCCCTCCACACAAGAGCATGGCCTGGAGTCCTTTCCAGTGATCAATTGAGTCCCCTGGAGTCCGCTGGTTTTTTAAGAAAACCATGGTTACTTCCTGGCTCCTTGCCGGATTTCACTGTTGCGGTCATTGTTTTCGTTGGTGTTCGCTCTGGCTTTGGCTCTGAGGGCTCTGGTCATGCTGGGCTTTTGAACTGACTTCATCTTGGTGCTAAACATTCATCTTGTTCCACAATGACTCTCCCTTTCTTCTACTGTTCTGGACTTTTCCATATTCTGTCCCCCTTTCTTTTCTAGCCTGTTAACAAGTGTCAGTAAGATGTGCCTGGAGCGAGACAGCCTGGGTTCCGGTCCCGGGTTTTTGCCAGTTACCAGCTGTGTTTTCCTGGGCAACTTGCTTAAACCCTCGGTCTGAATTTCCTCGTCTGTAGAACAGAGATGAGGAGAGTGTCATGTCACCGCCCTCGGGTTGTTGGGAGGCCTCTGTGCTGAGTGTGAAGCAGCCATTGTGACAGCAAGGCTGGGATACGACGGTTGGGACCATGCCCCAACCCTAGAGCTGGGGTGGGGACAGTCCCAACCCTACTGCATTGGGGAGACCTGTGGGAGAGGCACCATGGCACCCCCCAGACACAGTTCTGATCACGGTGACCCATGACTAGTGACTTGGGCACAGCGCCTCGGATTCCTGCGCTCTAGCCATGAGGATGCTGCCTGCTGGTATCGCTGCCTTGAACGTAGTAGGAGGGCCAGCTGGCTGTGGCGACTTTGACTGACCTCTGCCTCTCTTGGATGTTTGTTTCCAGAGTGTTCATGAGCCCACAGGTCCAAGCGAGGGTTATTTGCAGCTGGAGGAGCTGGTGAAGCAAGTGGTTTCTCCTTTCCTGGGCATCAGTGAGGACCGCGGCGCCTCAGGCCCCATGTACACGTTGGGTAAGGAGTGCGGCTCTCGAGCTGCCAGAAGGCTTGATGATAACACTACCAGCCCATTTTACTGGGCCCCAATTATGTGCCAAGACTTTTGCTTTTGATGCAGGCCCGTGCAAATGTGTGCATGTTGATCCCTCATGTTTTTCGGCTGCTCTGTGCCTCGCACCCTTCTCCCCGCTCTGTGATTCTTCCCCAGGGACTCATACTGTGCTTCTGTGGTGGCGCTTGTCTGATCCGCATCTTTGATGAGTGGCTTTGATCTTGTGCTTGTGCCTGCCACGTTAATTTTTCCTGTATCTGATACCAGAAACTGCATTATTGCACCACTCCCCATTTGAGTGAAAAAACCGCCCGTGGTGGTTTGCCTTTGAAAACAGCTGGAAATGGGAAGCCAAGTCTTGCACACATGGCCAGATGAGATGGAGCTGCTGCTCCCCACTCCGTTTCCGGAGGCACAGCCGGGGTCTTCACACCAAGGAAAGGGGCTCCTGGATTTGGAAACCAGTCCTGCTGGGCACTGTCTTGGGGTCTGGAAAGGTAGCGTTATTGAGTATCAGTCTTGGTACTAGGCACCCTGGAGAAGCTAGAGATGAGTCAGATTGTTTTTTATCTCAGCGAAACCTCAGTCTAGATGGGGTAATAGCTCTATAATAAGGCTTATCATAAAAGTCGTTTCTCAGTCACCCTCTGAAACAAAAGCTCCCCAATGTTGGAACCTTTTGTTGGCTGTTCTATCTCCAGTAACTGGTATGATGCCTGGTATACAGTAGGCACTCAAAAATGTATGCAAGAGGGATGGCATCTGTACCCTGAGGCCAGGGTGACCAGCACCCTCAGAGGGGTACAGAGATAGAAAGAGATGCCCCAAATTTAGAACCTTTGGCCCCCTCTTCCTTGCTTGAATGGAAGTGGAGCTGAGCCTCAAAGCAGTAAAGAAAGGAGCAGCCTTGGCGAGGTGCCGCCCCTTCCCGGGCCTCTCTGCTGCGGAGAAAGGCAGGGCCGGCTGCTGTCTTCACGGCCCCTTTGTGTTTCTCTGGAGACAACAGCTTAACCACAGCCACCGCAAATCGGAGGGTGCTGGCCCCAGCCTGCTGCCTGCCAGTTCCCCCCGCCAGCTCCCTCCCGCCCTTCCTTCTTCCCTCCCTCATTCCACGCAGGAGCTAGAACCAGCCTGCGTCGAAATGACAGCCTGAATAGAAACCTGCCCTCCTCGCCATGGCTGGGCGCCATGCCCTCCCCAGAGCCCAGCTTCCTGCTTGGGCTCCGCCCGCTGGTCACCTTGCTGAGGCTCCCTGAATGGGGCAGGAGGACGCAGGAAGATGTCAGGACGCCAGCAGGGGGGGCCATGGCAGGGACTCTGTCCGTCCGTCGTCGCTAGGCCTAGAGCCAGGAACAGGGGTAGATGCAGAAGTTTGTTCAGGGAGGGCTCATGCTAACAGGGGTACCTTCAGTTTTCCAGCTAAACTAATAATACATACTTTTGTCCAATTATGAAGCAAAGGCTTGAGGTTGCATTCTTATACCAAGGCCAATCCTTGCCTTCTAGGGTGTTCTCAGTAGGAGTGGAGAGGGAAGGAAATGTCTCTCTTTGGATTACTTTTCTTTTTTTATTAATTCAGCAAATGTGTACTAAGAGCCTGTTCCAGGCACCTTGTGAGGTGCTGCAGGTATGTCCGTGAACAAAACTGACCGACCCCTGCCCTCTGCGAGCGAGCGCGGTCCAGTGGGGAAAGTCACAAACAATAGATGATGGCTCATCAGGGTACAAGTGCTCTGAGTGGGGAAGTGCAGCGACCGGGGGCCCCATGGCAGGGGAACTTTACCTGGACGGGCAATCAGGGAAGGCTCCCCAAGGGAAGTGATATCTCTGATGGGACCTATAGGATGAATATGAGTTAGCAGAGTAAACGGGAAAGGCAGACTGTCCCCGAAGCAAAGGGAAGGATCTTCAGGAGGGCTCTGGGGTGGGGGTAGCGGTTGCAGCGTTTGAGGAACTGAAAGAGCTTCAGAGCTGCAAAGTGGCGGTGGCAAGGGAAGTCCTGGGCACTGTGCCAGGTGGGCTGGACACCGTGCCACTGAGCAGGCACCGTTGCTCCTATTTCACAGGTGAGGGTTGGGATCGCTTGGCTATTGGAGCCAGGCTTCCAAACCCCCCAAGCTGTCTGCATTCTCCCACGAGCTCCTACCCCCACGTCCTCACCCCTGTCAACTCCTGGGAGGTGATTGTGACTTTACTGAGGGGCTTTCTGGGGACAAGGTTGGCCTTCCCTCTCCTCCCCAGCCCAAGAGGTACCTGAGACCAGACATCTCCCCTCAAACCTGTGGGTATTAAAACCCTGAAACGGCCACGATGGTGCCCTCCCTTACTGACGACGCCCCTTTCCCCTGAGAGACCTCTCCGGCCTCAGTCTTTCCCTCTGTAAAATGAAGACGGTGACGTTGATCCTGCCCAGGAGAGAGCCATGTTGCGATGACCTGCTGATGTCCAGGCTGAGGAGATGCGCTGGACATGAGAAAGCCCAGGAGGGCTTTGCCATGGTCTGCTGGGGCCTGACTGGGGCTGGGAGCGGTCAAGGGCAGCTGGATGGTCATCTGAAAAGCCACCACTTACAAACGCCTGTCCTGTTCCAGGCGCTTGAGCCAGGGCTTGGCGTGTGTTCCTTTCATCCCGGCACCACCTGCAGGGGGCGGGTGCTGTGGGTACCTCCATCGCGGGGTCGTGAAGGCACATCCCCAGGGTCACACAGCGGGGTAGGTGACCAGAGCTGGAGAAGCGGTTTTTCTAAGATGCTCCTTACATGTTTGATCCCGGGATTCGTGGGAAGACTCACTCTCTGCCAGCCAGGCCTGTAGGCTTGAGGAATAAGCCTCATTCCCTGAATCTGCAAGGCCTGCTTCAGAGAGACAAGAGGGATCTCAGGCCTTGTGGAGTGAGTGAGCATTTGTGCGCGCGAGTCTCCCCTCCAAAGCTGTCATTTTTCTAGGGCAGCGGGGGGAGGGGGGCAATAATGAAATCTTAAATAGGCCGATTTGTCAGAACCCAGGCCCCCATCCTACCTTTCTACAGAAGTTCCCATATTTTCCAAGCCGCTGCCCCAGCTGCTGAGAGGGCCCTCCGATCAAACGCCGCGTGCTCCATTTCTCCCGCACAAAAGCCCGGGCCTCCCACACACCTCCCTGCATTGTCTCCGCGGGGGCGGGCCCTGTGTCTGCGGATACTGTAACTTCTCTTCCTGACAAGCAGGCATTCACGGGCTTTCAGGTGCAGGGGCCTGGAGAGGGACACCCACAAAGGACTTGGTGTTCGGGGTCACAATGCCCGCATTATGGCTGCCACTCCGGTGGGGCCTGGCCGGTGAGCCATGGACATCAAAGGCCTGGGAACTGAGTCCCCAACAAAGGGCCGGAGGACCGCCTCACCCAGGCTTTCTTCTCTCAGAGGGTGTGAAGGGGGCTGCCATCGCTGGCTCCGTGCAGGGGGGTGAATGCCAGAGCTGTGCGGCAGTGGGGAGCCCCGTACATGAGGAGGGAAAAAAGGCTCCCCTCACCCTGCTCCATGTGAAAGGCAGGGGGAGGCCTCGGGGGCAGTTGGCAGCCCCTTTCCCTGCTCCAAGGGCACCCTGGCAAGGGAGGGACCCCTTTTTTAGGCCCCAGGGGATACTGACAGTTTCTTCTGTCCCTTAATGGCAGGTTTCCTTCTCTGAGTGGCAAGACCCGGCCTCCCCTGGGGTGAAGAAGTGGGGAGAAAGCAAACAGCAGCAGCGGGGGGAGCTGTCCGTCAGCTCCAGGCATCCGTTTTAGGGCCTCCCGCAGGCGCCCAGCAGGGGGCCGACCCCACTGGGGACGCAGCTGACGCACTTGTCTGAGGGTTGCGTGTAGGGTCTGGTGGGAGTTCAGCGAGGAAACCCTGTCTTCCCCAGGGACTCACACAGCTCAGCGACCCCTGTGGTCTGGGTTCTGCCCACACCGGGTGTTGGGAACCCAAACATTTCGCCCAGAAAGCAGAAGGAAGGGCTGCAGGCCTCTCCGGTGAGTCATCGCGGGAAGGGAAGGCGGGAGCAGCAGTAAGGAGAGAGGTGGGGCCGGCTGCAGCGGGACCCGGGCCTCGGACACTGCAAGGGCTGCACTTCAGCTGTGTGTCTGGAGTAAGTTCCTTAACGTCTCTGAGCTGCCAGGGGCTGAGTGCAGAGGAGAGAGGAGCTGCCCTGTCTCAGGGCAGGACCCAGGCAGAGCGGCTGCCTTCCATATCATGGGCCCCAGCTAGAGGTGCCCCGCCCCTGGGGAACCATTCCAGATGAGTCGTTGTGTGTGCCTCCCCCGCCCTCTCCTGGCCACGGCCATGCTGTGTAGCCATGGCCTGCTTGTCTGTCGGTCTCCCCTTTAGACTGTGAGCTCATTGAAGGCAGGGCGCACATGGTTCTGCTTGTCACGCAGGCCTCAGCATAGACCTCTCCTCTCAGTGAGGGAGTGGACAGCCCGTCTGGGTTCAGCCTGTCAGTCACCCTCCAAAGGAGCAGGCCCATCTGAAATGACCCCTCTGCCTGACTTCTCTGAACCCCCAGAGTGCTCTTGTTGGTACCTCTGCCTGGACATTTGCCGTGTTGACCTGTTTGAATAGTTTTTTGTACGTGGGCCTCCTAAGCGTCACAGGCAGGGGTTCTGTGATGGGATGAACAGTCCTGTCTTCATCACTGACTGTGACTGTAAAGTTATGTAGCTTCTCAACGTCAGGTTCCTTTTCTGCAAAACGGCCTCAAGGAGATTATGTGGGTGAAGCACATCCTTTTTGGATACAGTACCTGGCACAGAATAGATGCTCCGTTAATGAATGCTTCTAAGACAGCTCCCTACAACACACACACACACACACACACACACACACGCACCCAACACCCGAGCACTGGGCTCAAGCCCCTTTGGCAGGCCTCGTATCACATTCATGTGTCTCTTTCTCCTGCAGTGAGCACGGCATTTTGCACGTTGTAGCTCAAGAAGTGTTTGTTGCCGGGATGGGGGGAGGGCAGGAGTCACGGGGACCCCCTCCTCTAGGTTGTCCACCCTCACTCTGGCTCCAGCTCTCAGCAGCAGCCCCGATGGCCTCTCGTCAGTTTGCTGCCATTCAAACCCTCCAAGGACTTTGGGCTGCTGGACTAAAATGCCAGAGAGGTGGGCAACGTCCAGGCACCCATCTGAGACACCTTTCCTGGCTCACTCCGCCAGGCTGAGGTCCGTGGATACCTTCAGATGAATTCCCGTTTCTCCCGAGATGCTGCATGTGTCTGCCAGGCGCCTCTGTCCCGCATGCCCTCACCTTACCTGTGCCTGGGGCCCCGCCTCTGCTCCAGCTCTTTCCCCTTCCTGGATGTGCATGTAGGACATGCCCAGCGAGCAGTCTCACCCTGTCTCCAGCCAGGCTGGCTGTAGAGTTGGGGCCACAACACCGGTTTGGCAATTGCCAATCTTAAGTGCTTGCATTGAACAGCAGCAGAGACAAATGAATTGTTTTCAAGGGCATTTTTAAAGGATGGTTCTTTAATGGGGTCTCTGCTTCTTTGAACTCTTCCAGTGCTTCTGTTTTATAGGTATCGATTTTGCGATCATAAAAGTAATACATGGTTATTGTAAAAATGTGGGAACGCTATAGAAATGTGTGGCTTCGGAGACAAGCTCTGCCACAGTCTGGCATAGATTCTTCTGCCTTGGTTGCTCCCTGGCGTTTTGTCGCCTCTTCTTTCTTTCCCATTGATTAAGAGGTTTTGACCCCCTTGCTATTTCCTCCTCAATTACAGCCTTCTCTGGCTTTTCTCTTGCAGCCAGGCGCCACTCCCGGGTCCGGCCCAAGGTCACCGTCCTGAACTACGCCTCCCCGATGACCGCCATCAGCCGGCCACTGAATGAGATGGTTCTGACCCCTCTGACGGAGCAGGAAGGGGAGGCCTACCTGGAGAAGTGCGGCAGCGTCCGGCGGCACACGGTGGCCAATGCCCACTCGGACATCCAGCTGCTGGCCATGGCCTCCATGATGCACCCTGGCTTAGGCGAGGAGCCTGGCGCTGAGGACAAGTGCCTGCTTCTGCCGCCCAGCTTCTCCCCGCCCCACCGCCAGTGCTCCAGCGAGCCCAGCATCACCGACGGCCCCGACCAGCGGGAGGAGGTGGCCGGGGGCAGCCCGGAGGACTCGGAGGTGAACAGTGCTTCCCTCAGCTGAGTGCCCGCCTCCGGGGCTTCCCGACTCCTGCCCGGCAACCGGGATGAGGACGGCTCCATGCTGTGAATCGCCGAGGGGCTCCTCCTTTGGACAATTGCTGCCGTCTGTCTTTTTGGGGACAGGCCCGGTCTAAGTGTCCGAGGGGGAGCCCCTGTTGTAAACCTCTCCGTTTTGGTGACTGTGACCACTTCTTCGCAGCCACATAGACCCAACTGTCTAATGTTCACTTGCTGGCTTCCAACCTTGCCTACCTGACTCGGATCCTCATCTCTGGGCTTCCCTCCCTCAGACATTGGACTGTCCGATGGTCCCAACGACATATCCCGGTGACCTTGGCGTTGCCGTGGCAGGAGGTTATCTGAGCTGCACACCAAGCCAGTGAGGATGTGTTGGCTTTCAGAGTTCCCCTGTAGGTCTGGTGAGGCAGAGGCTTGTGGGTAAAAAGATACCTTTTCTCCCCTGTGTTTGTTTGTGGGGAGTGAAAGTAGACAGCAGCCCTTACCAACCAGGGTTCTGGGAAAGTGCCTTCCTTGTTTTTGTTTCAGAATTATGGGGAAAGAGCTGCCCCTCTGCTGGTGAGGGTCCATCCTCACCTGCATCCAGGCACAGGAGGGCCAGATGGCCGGGGAAACCGGCTTTGATTAAGCCTCTACGTTTCCCCTTCAGGCTTCCCCCAACTCAATGAACTAACCTCCCAGGTGGAGTAGCTGATGCCTTCCTCCCTCTCTTCCTTTAGGAACTGACTGTTTCCTGTTGTAGATGAAGGGCCGGCTGATAACCGACCAACTAGTGTGTTCCTGGATTTGACTTGAATTTTTAAAATGTACATCATTTCAAAAACAATTGTTTGCAAATATTTGCACGTAGGATCTTTCACTGCTCCTTTCTGACGGGGTGTGTCTTCAAGCTAAGAAATAAGCAAGCCCTCCAGGAAAGGAGACTAGGCGTGGTTCAGGGGTGAAAGTGATCCATGATGGGTAGGGTTCAGAGGCCACAGAGATCTGGAAGTGGCTGGATTTGAATCCAGAATGACCTGTGTTTGTGAGTGTCGTGGCTTATGGGAGAAGCTGCACTGAGGTAGGGAGACAGCCTCCCTTGTGAACACAGGGTTGTAGCCAGTGGAATGTCTCAATGCTTTACAGTGGGGGGAGAGGGGGGTGGATGTCCATGGGGCCTTTTGGAGAGATGTTCATTCCCTGTGATTAAAGAAGTACCCAGGTGTGCCTGGAATTTCTAACGTGAGGTCTCAAAATGCTACTGAGGCAGCAGACTTTGGCACTGTGCTGTCTCCTTACTCCGTTCCCTCTAGGTTTGGGCTTTTTCTCCATCTCAGATCTCTGTTCTTTGTATTCACCTGTTGGCCCCACTCACAACAGGTCCAGAAGAAAGGAGAAGACTCCCCTGGACCCTTCAGGCACCTCCTAGGTATCCTGTTAGGCTTGGAAGCTTTGTGGATAAGATCCCAGAGACAGGAGTCAGCTTGGCTTCCACCGTGGTGGGAGGTGGCTGCAAGGGGACAAGGACAGTTTCAGTGGCTCATCAAAGACTCGACAGCATTTCCCTTCTGGGTGAAGATCTGAAATGCGGCCAGAGTTGTGCTTTTTGATGGCTTGTAATTTGGAAATTGTGTTTAACAAGTTGTTTCATGTTCATCCTTCTACAAGAATGATGGAAGGGAAATGTCCAAAGGAGAGCTGAGAATTTCAAACAAAAAAATAATCTTGGGGTATGTGTTGGGTAAAGTCCACAGATTGACTAACATGCATTAGTAGGCGGAACATCAGTAAGCAACAACCTGACAATTTATTTAACTGATGGCTTCTGTCCTTTGGTACACTAAACTCTTGGGACTGGTATTTATCGATCCAGGCAAAGTCATTAATCATGCTTGGGTTTGTGTTTTTTAGTTTACAATGTTAGCAATACACATGTTTTTAAACGCCTTTTCTGTATAGTAAATGACCCGGATGGGGATAGCAGTCATTCAGTGGAATATGTGAGCTCATAGCCTGAGAAGGCACATGTCAGTCCAGACCCAGCGAACTTAATTTTGCCAATGACTGTTAGGCAGTTTACAACTTCACCTTGATGTACACACCTGAGGTTTGTACAGTAAATATTTCAGACTGTGCATATGCGAATTTTGTTCGTGTTTATGGGCATTTCAGCTCTCAGAGCTGGAGCAAGAGTGACAGCTGCTGTGTTTTTAACCACTGCTTCTCCCCTTTATGAGATGAAGATTCATTTTCGTTAAGCTAGGATGTTCCTGTGGCTGAGGTTTAATGACAGGAAGCGATCACAACTCTAAACTCTGAGTGAGCTCACAAACCAAAACCCTTTCATGTTGTCTGTTTCCAAAACGGATTCAATAAACATTGTTTTGTACACGTTACCTACCCTGTTCCCATGGGCTGTGCCCTGAAGGAATTTGCAAGCGCAGCAGTCCGCCATGCGTCCTGTCCTCACACTCCCTGTCCCCACTTCTCCTGAGCCCCTGTCCCTTCTTCTGTTGCCTCCCCTCCCCTCCAGGGTTAGCCAGCAGCCTCGCCCCAGCTAGCTTCCCTGGGTTTTGTTTGCCATCCTTGTTTGGATTGGCAAGTCATTTCCTGGAGAAACGGCCTGTCTGCGGAGCTTGGAAAACACCGAGCAAAGTCTGAGAAGGCAAAACCTCTTCTCAAACCAGCTCGGCCTCTTCCCGGAGTGTCTGAGCAAGAGGGGCTTACCGTGTTTGCTCACGGACTGTCTCGTGTTCCCCTCAAGTTCTGTTTGGCAGAAAGAATGTATAATGTTTCACACTTGGTGTAAGTTTTCCCAGGGTGGCTGGAGCAGCTAAGCCTGAAACCTCTGGAGGTTTAGTACAAGCATCTAAAGAGCTGTGACGTGAGCTTATTGGAGGTCCTGGAGGATGTGAACGGGAGTGTGTACGTTTCTCTTGAGTCTTCAGAGGCTGTAACTGCAGCAAGTAGCCGCTGAGCATTCTGCTTCGGTAGATTTCACGTCACTGGAGCACCCCGTCTTCCCTCCTCCTTCCGCTCGTCTACCCATCAGGGATTTGCGGGGCTGCCCCTATGTGTAGGCATTTTTCTTGGGCTGGGGATGAAGGGATGGACATAACCAAGGGGCCTGGTTTTTTGAAGCTCACCATCTAACGAGGAGAGGCTCATCATCAACTCAACCCAGGAATTTCAAGTAATGGACGGTACCGGATAAAATAAAACCACAAAACTCAGTGACTCACGGGTGACCTCAGGTGAGGTGACCAGGGAAGGTCTTTCTGACATTGATAAGGAGCCAGCCTTAGAGTCTGCTTTCATTTTCTATTACTCCCATAACAACTTCGTAGCTTACAACAACACATTTATTATCTCACGGTGCTGTAGGCTGCAAGTCTGCCCTGGGTCTCACTGGGCTGCGATCAGGATGCAGGCAGGGCTGTGTTCCTTTCTGGAGGCTCTAAGGGAGACTGCACTCCGTCCTTTACCGCCGTGCTCCTTGGCTGCTGGTCCTCTTCCTCCATCTCCAAAGCTGGCAACGGCGGGTTGAGTCCCTCTTGTACCCAGCATGCCAACCTACATCCTGCCTCCCTCTTCCACTTTTAAGGAACCATGTGGTTCCGTTGGGACTATCTGGATAACTCAGGATGACCTCCCTCTCAAGATTTCTGAGGGCCCTGCCTCTGCTGCCCCCTCTGCTGACGTTGCTCCTAGTAGGAGAAAGACCAGCCATGCGGTGTGCTGGGGACCCAGGGAGGATGAGGCTGCATCAGGTAGGGGAGTGGGGAGGCTGGTCTCGGTGTCCAGGACAGACTGGCTGGCCTGGCTCAGAGGCCTTGGAGCCTGGTCTCCACCCACCAGGGCCTGAACGCCCGCAATGACCATGATTCTGGAGTCCCTTGCTCACGTCTCTCACTCCGCATGTCACATGCCTGTCAGGCCCTCGTCACCCCATTTGGAGCTCTGTGACTTCGTACCAATTTGTCTGCAGACTTCATCTCTCCCTATGGACATCCCCAACTGGTTTTTTTCTAAAATGCAACCCCTACTTGAAACCTCTCCTTGGCTTCTGATAAAATCTTCACACCTGAACTTGACTTCAAGATTCTTCCCAAGCTGACGCCCACCGGCCTTACTAGCCTCCTTTGCTACTCTGATTGTTCACTGTCCTGGAAAGCTGCCTTCCACCTTCACACCCTCCCTCCTTGCGTCTGCTGCTCCCTCCCTTCTCTGGGTCCAAAGAGCCACTTCTATCTTTATGCAGTCTCAAGCCCTGTCCCAGGGAGGCAAGCATGCCCGGGGCCTAGCAAAACAACGTTTAAAGTCGTGTGTTGAATCAGTTCGTGGGAAAGTGATCATTCTGATCTTCATCCCTTCCCTCCCAAGTATTTACAGAGAGGACCTTCACCCTCTTCCCTTTCTCTTCAGGCAGGGACCTTCCCGATGCTGCTCTCTGAGCACATTCCCGCTGAGGCTGTGTGGCCAGGTGACCTGTGAGCACGGGCTGGGGCCAGGTCTGAGCCCTTCCTGCTCCAGCCAGTGGCTGCCGTGTCCCTGCAGAGAGCCATCCTGGGATCCACTGAGCTGCTGCTTTGCTCAGGAGCCTGTCCCCTTTGTATCTAAGGCAAGAAATTCCTTTGGGGCCTGGAACATGTTCCTGAGGGAGAGAGCCAGAGCCCCTGTTGTTTGCAGCAAGGCCATCTCTTTGAAGAAAGCCTCCTGCCAATGAGTAAGAGGAAGCCCTGGCCAGCTTTTAGCTCAGTTGGTTAGAGTGTTGCCCAGATATGCCAAGTTTGCGGGTTTGATCCTTGCCAGAGGGGTCAGGGCATGTACCAGGAACAACCAATGAGTGCCTAAATAAGAGGAACAACAAGGTGATACCCCTGCTCTTTCTCTCTGTCAATACATTTTAAAAGATTTTTTTAAAAAACCATCTTTAGATGCTTGCAGCAGGCCAGTGCGACCCTAGCCCCCCCTTCACTCAGGGTCCAGCACAAAGGAGACTCACACACCACTGCTACCGTGTGCCGAGCACTATGGGGACGGTCCTCACAGCAGTCATGCAAGGCAGGTATCACCCCCATGAGGCATGGGTCCTTGAGGCGATGGAGCTGGGACTCAACCCCAGGTTCTTCCACCCGCGTCCGGCGGTCATCCTCTCTATTCCGTGAGGTATCCTGGCTTGATGTAGAGTGAGGACACAGAGCAGATTAGACCAGGGCTCTAAGGTGCGCTGGTGTAGGAGAGGAGCCAAGCTGCCTCTCTTGTTTTTCTCCAGACACTTCTAGAAAACCACATGGGCAGGGAGTGGGGTGGGAGGACTCCGTGTCTTAGACGGCAGACGTCTTATGTGGAAAAGGTGTCAGTGTTTTTTTCCCTTTAAAATCAGTAACTTGAAATTTGGCTCTAAAACAGAATATTTTAATATGTTAAATAATCACTTAACAAATAATACAATTAATAATCCTATCTTTAGAATTACTATTTAAGATACAAATTAAAAAAAAACTTTTTTAAGTTCAGCTTACAAATTTATTATTTCAGAAGTCTAGCTGATTTTAGCAATAATATTGGTGGAGGCTTCGACTAGTGCCTGGTCCTAT